AATTATTGCATACTATGTATTATTGGACTATACACGTATATACTGTATATTTCGCTAAATACTGTAAGAAACAATAGGAGTACCCAAATCGACACACAGATGATTTTTAGAGAGCATGTTTTACAAGAAAGCAATAAACAAAGGCACTTAGAGAGATAAGATTACCACCAGCCCAACACTAGCTGCCTTTTAACCATCATATACTCAAAATGTGCGCTGGAAACACGTCATCATTGGCAGACACCAGCTCGCTAACAAAGCGGGAGCTATACAACATGAGCCAAGACTAAACAAAGAAAATTTTCCCAATTATATTATGGTATTTACCGACAGAAGGAATACAATTCATATTCGATAAGATACATAACGACCATTCATTATCAAGTGGAAGGTAATATCAATTACATGAAATCCTGCAGTCTTCAATCTCCATTCTTCAAAGAAACGACAACTTCCCACGGTGGTCAAAGAAACAGACGTCCGAGGAGCCAGCCTGGGGGCAAGGGAGCTTCCTGAGTACTCCAGCCTCGAGGCCTGAAGGTCTTCATAGCAGCGGGGATAAAGCAGGCTATGCTCATTTAGCTATATTACCCTTCGGGTATTACAGCGATCACGACACGCCTGAATACTTGGCAACCGATCACATTGGGATTTGCAGCTTATTATGTGGTGTCAATAGTCTTTTGAATCTTATAATAATCATTATGAAAGCATATCAAACAAGACGTTCAAAGTCTGGTGCTAAACTTTCTTCATACATTAACAAAATATGGTTATCAATCATCAATCTAAAGACAAGATTGAGGAATTACACCAAATTAATATAAATAAAAATACACATATAACAGGGAAGTGTGAGAATTACTGCCGATAAAATGGTTGAGGCTCAGAATACTTTTCACTTTAAAACGACTCCATGATCCATCTTGAAGATCTCGTGGGTCACCAATACCGGAATATGCGCCGACCAGCTGTTTAACCTGGTGATTGACTGAGCTCGGGTTGCGGTGGCTGACCTGAAGCTTGAGTGCCTCGTCACAGTACCTTAATGCTGTTCTTTAACCTTTTTGGCCGATGTTCAGAAAAACTAAGAATTATACTTCTTACATTAAAATTAAATTAAGATGACTCACAATAAAGGGCACAGTAAGCTTAATCTGCATAAAAGCAGGAACAATAAAAATACAAAAGCGTGATCAATTTTAACGATTTTTTCATAATTTAAGCGCTATTATAACGGACCGTTTAAAAAAGACGTCGTCAACCCCATGCAATTAAATGCAACCAATTGATCCAGTGAGCATTTCCACCGAACATTCTCGACAAATAATGACGAAAGTTTTAGCCGGCTAAATTAGTAGCTGGTGTGAAGCTACAAGGTGAATGAATAAGACCGCGCACGAAGCTCGACCACAAGACATCGCCCGCATGTACAAAATTTGTCACGCTTAATTTCTTTGAAAACTCATTTACGTGCTAGAAGGAAGGCCAAGTAAACACGCAGCTTGGCGGCCAGTATCGGATTACTCACCACAAAATTCGCCCTGAGCATTTTTTTTACCAAAATCGTCGGGCCTTGTTGTAAAATTATACATTGCACGCAATTTCTTATAGGTTCTATAATCTATAAGAACACACACAAAAAATAAGTTAACAGAAACAAAAATAAGTTCACATAACATAAATAAATAAGTTCACAGAAACATAAGATTCTCAAATATGATTGTCATTTTAATTTTATTCCAATCATTGGAAGCAGTACTTAATGCTAAAAATTAGAACGAAATACAGAGGATTTCCGCTACCGCCGAAAATATGCGAATGTGTCGGCTTTGGCTGTTATATGGGAGAGTAACGTGCGAATTTTAGAGTTATCGATAAACGATTCGGTTTGGTCTTCACGTGTCCTCGTGCATCTTCATTGACTACGACGTATTAATGATAGTTCGCGCAGGACATACGTGTTATTTTAAGCGAAGGTCATAACATGGAAGCGCGTGAGACACGCCGCGATAAGGTTCACGGTTAATGAATGCATTCAGCGGAGATGCGTTAGAAGTCACTAACCCGTACGCCCTAACCCTCAGTCACTAAGCGATGTCAATCTGCTATTTCATACAACTTTGGTAGCTTATTTTCTACTTTACAGTAGACGTAAAAGGTACTATACAGTGGCCACCCGATGTTAATATTCGACGTCTTCTATCAGCCGTCATATAAAAAATGTGAATTTTTCAATAAAATTATTATATGAAACAAATGATGTTTTATAGCTACAAAAAGAATAAATATGAACAATGGTTCAAACCCTTTCCTCTCGCTATAAACCACAAGAAAATGAGACAATCTCTCTCTATATATATATGGATATATACCATTGTAAAATTTTGTGAGTTCAGTGCTTGTCTGAAGAGAAATCAAACTTGTTTGAATACTCTTGTACAGATGTTTACTGAAATGAGAACAGCAAGCTCATCATAACCAAAAATACCGACCCAGTGGAGTATTGTTCACTAACGTGACATTTTTAACTAAATAAACACGTGAATAGACTAATCTTATAAAATTTACAACTTTCGAGGTTCGCACAAGCTTTCGGGGGGCAAATGAAAGAGTTTTACAATTCCACTCAGAAAATAAATGGCGGTTTGGAATAAGCAAACAGCAGTCTAAACAATGCATTGGCAAGAGGTCGCAGAAATGCGGGATCAAAGTGGCACATCAAACAATGGAGGATCAACTGAACGGTAAAACAAGCCCCATTCCCGACCCAGGCTGCCGCACCGGTCTCGGCGCTATCAGCGGTTGACCTCCACGAGCAAGCGATAGTCTATATAAACCACATTTCTTTAGTACAGCGGTTTACGTAAATTATTTATAAAGGGCGTATATCAAAGAGGCGTATAGATACGTCTCCTTGACATGACTAATTTAATTTCAATTGGTCATTATCAAAGAAGCAAATATCCGGACGAGAACACGGTAAAAATTAGTCATTATTTATCCTTTGTGGTACAGATAAAAACTAGCAAGCCTTTCATGGTATACCACATCATAAAAAAACGAAGATCGCTTCATTATTCATTCGAACCATTGCTAACGACGAAAATTGTCATAATAACATAACAGAAAGCAAAAGCTTTGAAGGGTTATGTTAATAACCATCCTGCTTTATCACTAGCATGAGGAACATGCCTTTCTTCTAAAACAGTGCCAGCATATGCATAGATCACAACAGCTTACCAGCTAAACCCTCTTAAGGATTTGTATTCGCGGACTTGACTAGTAAGCTGTAAGCCTGAAGCCTATCTTCTCGACCAAACAATGAGTAGAAATATTAAAGTGAACTCATGTTAAAATTTATTTCACAGTATTAACTCTCAGAGGTATTAATGAAGTGATGAGTAATGCCCGAACGAATCAATAGAAGCGTCCAACTCTTCAATTTCTTAATGCGTTCCTAATTCAATCAAATCCTAGAGTAAAGCGTATAAATTATTGAGTCACATAATTATTTTTTTTCTATTTGCGTAAATTAAGGTCGAAAATAATTCTGATTTTCGTCCCTTAGGAGAGTTCAGCTACTTTTCCCTAATACTGAACTCGTGTGGCGCAACTCGTTCATGTCTACGCTTCAACACTAGGCCAAATTTTCTGATAAACTAGCATTGAAGCGCAGTTAGATTAACGTTTGTCTCAGTTAGCAGATTGATAAAGATAAGCGATTAGTTGTGTCCGTTTAGGTTTTGTCGGATAGTCTGCAATGATCTTCAAACAGCACAGTAGATCTGAACACGCTAGTTGCTTCTCTATTTCCAGTGTGAAAGTGTAAAGAAGTTTCCTCAATTGCCTCTCAATCCATTTAGCTTCATGATTACCTTCTAAACAGGAAAAGATAGAGCTTTAGTAATCAATCTCCGATTATATGCACATTTGTTTCCACGCTCAAACAGGAAACATTAGAATCGACCAGTATACCAAAAAGGCATACTTCTGTGGCAACGAATCAAGCACACCGAAGTGGACAATGTTGAACAAAGAGCTGCTAAGCGCCAGTAAAAGTTCTCCTCTATAAGATTATTATGACTCGTGAGCTGCAATGGTAGTTCCCTATAGCAGCTAAGCTGCATACTTGGCAGAGCGCCGGCATTTCTCAACGACAGACGTGGGATAACAAATGTATTGGACAGACTTATAAAGCTTGCATTGCACTTCTGAATTGCTATCTTTTTAAGACTGCGAAGGCGAACCAAACCTAAGGCTGATCAATAGGAGACGGCATAAAAAGATCATAGCTAACTGCAATTTCTTTCGTGTTAATAACGTTATGAAATATATACCTTCCATGAATTATAATGTAATCTTCTAATTCAAATTTGTTAGCAGGACGTATTTCTTAATTTATACGACGGCAAATAACAGTAGCAATTTGTCTTTCCTTTATGGTAAAATTATTAGTCAACAACTACGGTAGTAGGCTAAGCTTATTAGACAATAAGTACCGTAAATAAACTTTCGGATAATTACTGTCGAATATATGATGATTTCGCCCGGCTGTTTTTGAGTGGCTCGTAAGAAACACGAGCGGTCGACTGGATGATGCGCGATGAGAGATGAGAGCTTTGCAGAGAGTAAGAGGACTAAAGTTACTAGAGAGCGTCGCGATGAGAGCTGCAACGACGCTTCCTATTGATCGGCGCTGCACACAATAACAATCAAGGCATGCTGGGGTCTGCTGTTGGCATTTTCATGAAAAATTTTACCGTAGCATAAAACGTATCCGTAGGCTTCAACCCTTAAATATGTAGACTAATGTAATTAAATCTATCAAACGCAATAGCATGCCGACAACAACGGTATCCAGGTTGAGTCGGCTGACTTGGACTTTGGAGGCGATGCGAGAACTGCATTAGAACCTATTCAATTTATTGCAAGGCATTACAAGCTAAAATAACCAGCAACAAGTAGTATACATATAAAAATAATTTTGGAAAAATTACCTTCACTGTCTTAACTACGAAGAGGAATTTTAGGTGGCAGAAGCGTCGGTTTAAACTGCCTACACCCTTTGTGGCACACGAGACGAGCACGCACTTCCTCACTCCGTCACAGCTAAGCATTCACTGCTGATTTCTCAGCTGTTCAAATTGTACCAACAGAGCATGAACGTCGAAGCTAGGTAGTAGTTGTCTGAGTCACTCCTCTGTTTTGGAAGGAAAATGCATTTCCTAATCACTATCCAGTTCTCTAGTCGTCGATGGATCATAATGGTGTGCATACAGATACTAGATAATCGGATCTAAAACATAGTAATACGTTCAAATGGCTATGATCATAATCAAAAATTCCGTAAATAGAATGGATCATGAGGCCGAGGGTATGAGCGAAACTCGGAAATTGCTCAATTGGTAAAAATTTCCTATATACTTGGTAATATGGGCTGTCTCGCATTTATATTCGGCCCTTCCCTTAGCTGGCCAAAATTCACTTCAATAGGTGCCCGTAAAATTGTTGGTGTAAAAGACTAAACGGAACAGCGTTTGGGGAGCAAAATGAAAAAATAGAAGTATTCAATACGCTATTTATTTGATGAGTAAGTGAGATTAGCCTTGTTAAAAAATACATCATTAAATTGATGGCATAAAAACAAATTGACTTTCTTACTACAATTACCATAATTCCTATCTCGTCAATTAACGGGATGTGCATAAACTATTTGTCACTTTTTAAATAGGTTAAGTTTCTCCTAGAACATGAATAGAAAACTTAACCGAACGAAAAAAAACTTTACGATAAGAAACTAAAAGAAAACATAAATGAAAGTTTATAAAGTTATTCTGTGAAGCATTTTATTTAAAATAAATCTAGGTTTGCGGTCATAACTAGCCAAGAAATTTCTACCATACGGATTGATGAGTGTGGAAACATGCGTTTGCGTATAATCCGTTGCAATAAATTACTCAACTGTTATATGAAATAAAACCCAATAAGAAAGGGGAAATAAAATTTAAAACAACTTTGCATCTACCAAAAAAAATAAATAATGATTTATTTTGTTCGAAAAAATATTCATTAAAATTAAGTTCTAACTTTAGTTTTGTTACTATGCAATTGCCTTGGAGATAATTTAGCTTCATTTTTAACAAGGGCAAAATCGGTTTTGATTTTAGAGAGTCATGTGTCATGATGTGTGAAATACGAGCAATAAAAAATTTCTCCCAAAGTGTTCGAGCAATCGAGATATAAGGATTGGAAATAACATCATTTAAGAAGCACAATAAAAGTATCAACTTTGCCTTATGTTGCTGGGAAGGGAGCAGCAAATCTCATTGCTATGCAGAAAACATCAGTAGAGTGAACATAATTGCACCATCCAATAATGTTGACTCGGGTCGCCTGCCGAAGACCACAACTGCCCTAGATGTAATGGACCATCATGATTCCTGCCTACCGGAACGTAGCCTTCAACACTTCAAGCCGTCCGTATCTAGGCCGTGGGTCGAACCAGCCCTCGGTCGAACGGCCACTTGTCGAATGACGATAAATTTTGGAACAGAACTATGCTATCTGAAACCTAACCTCAGATGCGGTGAACGTAAAATTACGTAATTTAACGATGCCTGGAAGTCATATTCGATCCGCGGCCTGGTGGTGCACGGCAGGTGGTGGTCAAGGCCGGAAGAGGACAAAGTCGAGTGGTGCACGGCTGGTTGGTGTAGGTCAGGAGAGATCCAAGGCGTTCGATTCAGGGCTTATTGGTGCACAAAATTGGTGGTGCACGGCTGCGCTCCCTGTTGACTCTGCTATGTTCACGGAATTTACCTCAGTGTATAAAAATCATCGATCTAGAAATGTCAACTATACATTAAAATGATCATCTCTTCTAGTTAGTAGTGATGCTTTCGTTCAACATTCGATAATTTGTACATCTCTATACTGAGCCAACATAATTGAAAAACTATATTTATTTATATACTGAACGACAGAGATTTAGAACACGAATCGAATTTAAATGAGCAAAATTGCTGTATGAACACCAAACTATTTTGTTACCCAAGAAATAATACGGGAAAAACTGCTGCCTGAACTATCACTATACAAACTTGGAGTTGAATCAGTCGAGCTTATCTGAACCTTTTTTCCTTTGGCTGTTAGCCAATCTGTATAAATGACATAATAATTCACTTAATATCATCAAAATGCCTACGGCCATAACCAGAATAAAGCCTATAACATCAAGGCAATAATACTGCAAAATATTCAAATGTGTGCCGGGTGGCTGGATGTGCTTGAACGGTCCGAAGCGATGCAAGCTCAGGATGAGCCTAACTGCAGCGTCAGTGCCCGACTCCTCTGACTGCCACATTTGCGATGTCCTGGTGACCGATTCATTGAATCTGCAACATAGATTATGGACTACGTCAATTTCGATTGATGAAAACGTTAGCATTCTAGGTTTTCGTCAGTCTTTAGAAAAATCCAATCGCGGTATTTTATTTCAAGCGGACGTTTTGTTCGAAAAAAAATACGTTTAAAATTCTCAAATTATTCTATTCATGGGCCTTACCAATATTTCAATAAACTGCTGGACTGAAAACAATTCGGGAGATTGCATTTGCATTTTATTAACAAACCTGATATACGCCCTGCCTGAATAGCTAACTTAGATATAAAGACGAATCGTCAGCTTTTTACGAGAAGCGAATAAGGGGTCACTGACTTAAAGAAATTAACGCGTATCCGAAAATATTGTGGTTTCAATATATTTCACTTCAAAAATTAATCAAATGATGAACAAGATCTGAATGAAATTTGAAAACTACAGGACAACATCTCTTCTTATAGCTAGGCACAAGCCAGTAGCTCGTTAATTAGTTATTGATCAGAGTCTCACTTATTGTCCTGGATCACTCGGTTAATCATCTCATAGAGGGTGTCCTGAGTCAGGTCCTCCTTGGCGAGACGAAGTCCCAATCCGCGGTCCAGAACTCGGCGGGCGATGTCCCCCTGGTCCGCAAAATTGGGCACGCACAGGAGAGGCGTGGCGTGGTACACCGCCTCGTTAACGCTGTTCATTCCGCAGTGACTCACGAACAACTTTGTGGCGGGATGCGCTAGGCATAAAATGTACTCATTCATTGAAATGCTTTCAGTATAAACAATATAGTTAAAAACCAAGAAACTGCCTAATTAAAATGCCAATCAATATAACAAGATATAAATGTATAAGTAGAGTGAGATAACCGTAGGAAGAATTTCAACAAGAAATAGATAGACGTGACGGGAATATCAAACATATGGAAGAACAAAAAAAAATTATATTATAATTGAACGATGGTTTGAACACCACATATATTCGACAATACCCAAGAGATCTTGCTGAGGAATATTGGTCCTGGCAAGGACATTTGGGGGCAGAGTTTGCAGCTGCGCAGGGTCAAAATGAAGAACGATCCTCTGGGGCAGCTGTGCTAGGGCACGCAATGCCCCATCTCGGAAAGATTCCGGCACGACACTCGAACTAAAACCGGTGAGTCCAAACGAGAAAACAATGACGCCCGCTTCGCCTGAACCTTCAACCTGGGATTGAATTAACCAATGAAAATCCATACTACGCAAATAAACAAATCATAAGTTAGAGTAAGAGGTATGCCACGCAGAACTCTAAAAAATGTCTACTATTAAATTGGTCATCTCATCTCTACAGGGTTGAGTATGATCAACTTTTGTAGCAAATAGAAAGTTTTACGGTAAAGAATACAACGGGACAAAACGATAAATAATGATTCCTCACCCAATCCAGCATTTCCTGATCGAGAAAGAACTCTTTGGTGCACGTGAGGCAGCCGATGTAGTGCACGTGAGGAGGCAAGTGTTTGGCGTAGTCGACGTGCCAGCTGACGCTCACCATTAAAGTGTCTACCTCGGAGAGTAGGCGGCTCGACGACGGCAAATATGGATGCAACTTCTGTATATAAAATCGAAAAATAACTGAGAGTTGTTTATTCACAATGATAACGACGTCACTCATTTGGTATTGTATGCCACGAACCAATATTGTAACATTTTGTTGAACCCGCATGATAATTTTTCATTGCATAATGTAGGTTAGTTTGTCTTGGGTACAAACATGTCTGTCCAAATCTCCGAGAATTTTCTTACTTTGATCCAGTGGTCGGTTACAGAGAGATGGTATGTAACAAGAAGCTCATCCAATAGAGAGAAGACGAAGTTGTGCACTCGCTCGAAAAAGTTCATGCGGAAGCCCGCTTCTGTCATCATTGCCGGCACCACTGACGGTAGCTGGGACATGCCCACACGGCGTGCCTTCAAATATTATAGATTAGGTATTGCAAGTGATCATTGATCAAAGTATTGAGGACATCAATATCTCATTTAATTATCGAAAGGCAAAATGTAATCATTCGCTGTTTATGACTGTTTGTTCCTTGATACAGGGGCAAAAGAGTAATGATTTTTTTTTATCAAATCATTATAGCAACTAATTAAAATTGTTAGCAAGAATCCTAAAAAGCAACTGCAGTCAAACAAAACTATTTTGTAAAACTTATGAAGCGGCATAGATAAAACAGCCAAACTAGGAGACATAATTATAGATTAAGAAAAGATTAACTAGCAGATATCAGAATACATAAATTAACCAGAAAATTAAAAGAATATATGAATGATTACCTCTCCACCCTGCAGGGGGAAGCCCCAGTAGCCCACGACCGGCAGGCCCAGCAGCCTGGCCAGCGCTAACGAACACTCGTTGGCGATGAGGTCTACAAGCGCTACAGTGTATCCTGGGAAGTATTGAATTTTGCATGATTTATTTAGAGAACTTACTGGCATTCGCCACCAATCATCGATTAAATAAGTTTTTTTTCGTACACATCTTGAATTAACCGAGGTCAAAAAGTTGGGTTAAGTTCTTGAGAGAAAAAAGCAGTAGGTTAACATAGGCGCTGTTAGGCCAAGTCGTAAATTGAATCTGGATGTTCATAAAGCATGGGGACTCGGCATAGCAAGTTAACCCAGATATCAGGTTCACCCTGAATTAAGTTAACCCGACGTGATAAGTCAACATACGGATGATGTTTCCATGACATTGCTCATGATCGAAAATTTTTCTTGAGTGACGCACCGAGATAGTTTCATGTTATTATACCTAGATTCAGCTTTAGTGCACGTCTCCGCCATTATTAGCGACGAAGGCTTCTTGAAAACATAACAGATGATATACGATGATTTCCATAATAAAATTAGTCAATATTTGTACACGAAAAATGTATTAAAGAATAAGTATGCAAGAAATTCACGGCTAACGACTTAAGCTCAAACCAATCATTCCAAAAGTAGTCACCAAGTTTCGGAAACAGGAAGCACATTCTCCCGAGCAAAATCCGATGTCGTGCTCAAATTCTGGTTTTGGTGTCATTAGAGCGATTTCTCTGTAATTTCGTTCGATTGCGCTACAGTTCCTGCTATCACGGAAGCGAGATAACATGCATGCGCTTGCGTGTGTCCATTTTCTCATCCGAGTGATAAAAACACGCGTCCCTCCGGTGACAGAGCTCCACCAAAGCACGAGTAGCGATTTAAGACGCTTTCAATGCCGGTTTACATTTCACACAGATTAACATTTAATTACGGGGTTTGTGGTTGGACATCAATTAACGATACAAAACAACCTTATTGTACATTAATAGAAGACGCCAAGAATAGGAATTGTATGAGAAACGTTGGTTCCATCATAGGTTTACCGGTTGTGTTTAGGGTGGATATGAGTTCTGCATCGCCCAACAGGGTGGAGCAATGGGCGTCAATGAGGCCAAACACATCAGTCGGCACCTGCGCTGAGAAAGTCGCTGAATATATTAAATATTTAACGGTGAACGCCAGTGAAATCAAATTTAGGTAGCAAATTATAAGTGTTAGTTATTTGTCCGTGATAGTTAGAATAGTTAAAGCCATATTACGATTTACTAATTTGACGTTTATCATATACTGTTGGCATTGTTCAACTTCATTCTGAGTATTTTTAGATAACATCCCAAATTTCATGACATCTTGTAACACAGATATATTGTTTGATTTTTGTTATCACTAAAATATGATATAATAATAGGTGAAGCATTTAAGACCTATTTACAGTTGAAGACAAAAATTCGAATTTTCACGCCGATTATTGTTTCCCTAACATTGAGGATGGAACGCTCTGTGTGCCACAGGAGACGAGTAGGAGGCTGGAGGGCGCCGTCCCGCCGCATGTACGGGTATCTGGGGATTGCATATAATTAATAAAAAGAATCTATATGCCTGCAATAACCATAAATCAAAATTCGTTCAATGGCCTTATAACTAAACAAATTTGTTTTGAATTAATACACCCCACGAAGTCCGAAAATACACAAATCTAAAGTGTCAACGCAAAGATTTCCTCATAATTGCTTAAATATTATGAAAGCTATTTATGAGAAGCAGGAAATAAATACGGAGAAGCATCGTATAAGGCATCGTGCTACTAAGCACGCGCTTAGTAAAACAATATTGAAATATATGGCGATTAGATGTCTTAGACTTTTATAAATATTTAGGCATTAAATGCTCTTGAATGTTTGATGTCATTTCAATATGCTTTTGTCGCACAGCGGAACAAAAATCCTCGTATCAAAGTCAGAAGATGCGAACACCATTTTTAGTGCATTTTAGGTATATCAAAAATCGAATAATCAGATAACGGCAAATGAATCAGGAGCAAAGCATTCATATCCGGAAAGCAATAATACATTCGAAAAGTATGAGGAAAACATTCATTACCTCTTCTTGAATAATCAGTTTCCTGAATATAATCTGCCACGGAACGAACTATTAATAAATTCGCTTGACATCAAAATGAGTCATGATTTGCATTGGCTCACCTCAAGTCTTCATTGTCAGGGCTGACCGTAATGATATCCATGAACTTGCAATCTTCAGAGGTCCCTCGAAATTCCTCGTCATGTTCGTGTAGTTGATCTCCAGGAGTCGTCAGGTTGTGCGTTACTTTCCATTTGTGTGCTCGCTCAACATTAAACTTAGACGATGCGTGTCTTCGTTCGTCAATAGGAGCATGGTCGCTTTTCCACTTCAGCTGGGTGACGGAATACCCTCTTCGAACCAATTCCTCACCTAGACGACGAAGAACTACTTCGTGACTACCAGCGTAAATTGGATGAAGAATTAAAATTCTAGCTCCAGTATTCAACCTTGATCCGTGAGATGACTCAGCGTTCGGGAGTACGCGATCTTGGTGAGAATGCAATCTTTGTACGTTTTCAGAAAATAATTCCGTCTGATTACCGGCAGTTTCGGATCCACTTCTGAAAAGCTGACTTGCACGTGTGTCTGTTTTGCGATGCGACTTTGCAGACGATTTGTTTGACTGGTGCGGTTCTTCCCTGCAATTTACGATCCATTTCTTTCGAGTGACACATGCAGCTGAATAATGCGAGCGTTTTTGGTCCTGACATAGAAAATTTTCAGCAGGATGGAGAGGGAATATCGAAAAGCTGCTGTGCTTTAAGTGTGTTGTGAATTTTGAAGTTGTGTCAGACAAAGGCGCCAAATAACATATTTGGGCCAGGGCAAAAAATAGCACCAAGTTCATGTTGCCATCCAGATTCTCAACTAATTACTTCTTACCTTGGCAAAATTTTTTAACTTTAAGTACGGTAATATTTAAAAAGAGTCTTGCCATATAAATTTTACTCCGGGGTCAGCGGGGCTCTGTAATATATGGTCACTGTACAAATTCGTGCAATATGCGAATATAATCTGAGTGTAACTACGACTCATGATTCGCAGGCATTAATTTACAATATTAGCAGTATATGAGTTTCTCGGCAAATTTCTGCCAAGAAAAGTGAAAAGTTTCTACAAACCTACCAAAAATTTTTGGACGGGGCTATTATGATTTAATGAGTTAACTTGAATGTTTATATATACTTTAAATGGATACAAATTGTATATAAATATTAGCGAAAACACCGTATCTAATTCCTGTCATGCGCAATGTTTTTTCGTTTGAATGCAATACTCCTGCTTCTTGAACGATTTTTGCTTCTGAAACTTGAAACTGAAAACTGAAAGCATTCAACTGTATAATTATTGCCTTCCTCCAGAAACAGTGTTACGACAGAGTCTACTTTGTTTTCCTCCCCGGGCTGTCCCTACTTTCTCGTCACGCTGTTGCAGTTGAGGACGAACTAGCGTGCGTCAGCGCAACGCTTCTTTGTTGTCAACATGGAAGTCGTCAAGACTCGGTTGTCACGCACCTATTTACGTCAGATGTCGCACTGAAGGACATTGTTTTTGTTGAAATGATAACGACTAAATGTCCTCATAATACAGATTGTAATGCAAATTCCAAAATTATGTGAATATTATCTTCTTTTTCATAAGTTGTAAATGTATTTAACTCACGGTCATTGAACGCGTTGATTTGCTTCTTTGTATCATTAAAGTTGCAATATTATTGGACGTCTTCACGAAATTTACAGTCTCATTTCATAAAAGTCCTTACGTGATGCTGTTGTAAATTGCACAAGTCAATACATATGAAAGAAACTAGAATTTTTCCTATTGACGAATTAGGAATTGGAATGGTAGAATAGGTTGAAATGGAAACTTCAGGTAGAAGTTATGGAATTTTTTGTTATGCTAAAATAATTTACGTTTTAATTTCTTTTTGTAATTAGAAAACAACAAACAATAAAATTTCCGATTTACGGAAAAAAAATATTTTGTAAAAGTGTCTTCCTTTTTTGGAAGACTTTATGAAAGAACATTTGTGTATATGAGTTCACATGCAACACGCCAGTTGTCCCTTGTAAAGTCCCACAACCGTTTGGGGAGAACATGACAATTGGACCATCAACTTTCATTACCGTAGCAGCTGTCGTCTTGCGTAGGTAAGCAGCAAAGATATAGACATCGTTTACCTGGTATGTTATTAATTTCTCTTGCGTTGTTACTTTCTAGAACATAAGAAGAAACAATTTAATTTATTTCAGGTCATGTTTTTACAGTGTTATTTATAAAATGTTAGTTGAAACTGTCATATGTTCGACGATTTACTGACAAATTTACTGACATTTACTGACAAAATGGCTGATGTCCGCGGGATGTCAATTTACATACAAATTTTGGTGAGATTAACGCGATCATTATGAACATCATTACCCTTAAAAATTTTAGCTTAAAATGAGCATTTTCCGTGTATCCATCATTTTTACTGTAGGCTAGCTGGTTGAGTGCAGTAGTGAGACTGACGACTGAGATGCTTATTGGTAGTTAAATAATTGCTGGTCCGACAATAACTGTTAAAAGATACATCACGAATTTGTGGCTGATTGTGTAACTTAACTAGATATCGCATGATAATTTTTCTCTTCAATATTTTCATAAAATGAAGAATAACGTTCGTAAAGAGCCAATTGGTTTAAGAACCTCTCCTGATTACCTTGGTCTTAGAATATTACTACGACCACGATTTTCGAATGAATTCACTGCTTCTCGAATTCACAAAAATATAGTTTAGTTAATTGGTCCGACTTGAGACTTGCCAGGAGGTAGAGCGAAACATTTTTTCCTCAGAATGGGTTTTAATAGAAATTTTATGATACTACGTCGTAGAATATTTCATGTGTTGAAAGTAATTAACACGTTTTTCTTTACTCAGGTTCGCGTTTGTTTGTTTGTTGTTAACATTGACAACGAAAATTAGCCCACTTCTGATTGCTCTAGAGATCTGAAATTCGGCATGCAGGCTATTTTCGCCTAACAATTTTATATATAATCATAAAAACTAGCAGTTAGAGACCTAAATTAGCTTAATTGAGTAAAGTATATATAATATATATATATATATATATAGTATGACGTACGGGCACTGACGTTATAGACGAGCAGGCGCTGACGCTGCGCATCATCGATACGTACGTCAAGGCAAGTAAATTGGCTCGCAACAACGTTTTTCATGTGTAGCAACGGACTAAAAAGGAGAAAATAAAATACTTCAAAAAACTTTAAAAAAAAACACGTTTTTCTTGTGGACTAAAAAGTAGAAAATAAATTACCTAAAAAAACTTTTTTAAAAACACGTTTTTCTTGTGGACTAAAAAGTAGAAAATAAATTATGGCTCGCCCCAAAAAACGTGGGTCGGGCTGTACGTTCACCATCAAATTTCCAAAATTCGCGTTGAGCCATAATTTATTTTCTACTTTTTAGTCCACAAGAAAAACGTGTTTTTCTAAAAAGTTTTTTTAAAGTATTTTATTTTTACTTTAACGATATCATGAGGTGCTGCCGAGCTGCTGAAGTATTAAAAGAATTACTTTCAATGCGATTTTCTGCTATAATATCGATAAATGCAATGACTAGCAATATCATTAGATAGAATAATGTTGCAAAGATATTTAGGTAGGAATAGGCAAAAGTGAAGATATTTGAGAGCAATATTTCATGAGCCATCAATTGATATACAAAGAAACATTTGCTGCTCATGCAGTCACTTGCTGCGATTCTATGATGATTATTTCTTTCTATTGCAGGAATTTATGCATTCATAATTTTTTTAAGTACAGAGACTTAGTTAATTGAAGTGATAGTGTTTTTCAAACAGAAAAAAATCGAACAAACTGCAAAAAATAAATACTAACGGAAGAGACTGGCGAAAGTGGTAAAAAAAGTACTTTTTGAATTAAATCTATCGCAGTTGTTTCTGAATGAGCATCAGAATTTAGTGCTTCATCTTAAGAAGCGGAAGAAAAATGTTCGGAAACTGATTCCGTATTTGTGTTCGATCGTTAAAAATAATCAAGTGGCTATTAGACATTGCAGAGACCTTCGTAAATGGATTTTGATCAGTCTCATGATATATATGGCCTGTATTCTGACGCAAGAAAAGATCAAACAGTGGCCAAAGACTAAGCAATTAACGAGAGTTAATACTGTTGTTTAAAAGCAACATATATCGATCTTAGAAGAACGCGAGTAAAGAAAGCTATGCTGCCCCTTTGGCCTCTATTGTAATACGGGTAATGCAAAAACTATAATCGACTAATTTTATGAGCGAGTTCCTCAAGGAGAACTACAATTGGTAATGGTGACCCTGTTTTACGTAGAGGTACCAAAGGGTTGCATAGGTCCCAGCATTATGATTGATTAGACTTAGACTGAATTTGAAAAAGCCCGTTCTTTGGTTCATCGTCAACTACATGCCGACGAATTACTGCTCCGTCACATTATTTGAACTCGTGCCAGAAGAACTTCTGGCCCAAAAGGTATAACGGGCATAATTTTCCTACAACTTACAGGTTTACCAGGCCTAATTTATTTACTTTGTGAATAAATTTTGACTTAATTCCGAGAATATAACATCAACGTTGCTTGATACTCATAAATCGGAACTAAGTACTGATAAAAAACACAAAACTTTTACGGTACACATCCTAGAGAAAAGTAATATTTGGCATGAGAACCCAATCATAATTCGCGACTAGGTACTTGAAGCGTAGTTTAGCAGTTAAGCAGCTGACAGTCTGAAAAAAGTATTTGCGTTCATTATGAAAGTTTACGTCGGTTCCAAACTGGACTGCGTTTTTCCTCACAAAACGGCGCACAATATCTTTTCAAGACAATTGATCTAACATGAAAATTAATTGTTAATAATAAAAAATGCTCTATTTAGGTCTCAAGTGAAATGAAGTTTGATGTTCTGTGCGGTGTTTACGCAGAAAATTTGCATTACCTTCATATCTGCATTGTTATATTTCGCATTTTTAAAAAGTTTTATATGATGGCGGCATCTAAAGGTATTAATAATATGAGCTGAATATTTACTAAAGTTATTGTCTAGCATCGTAGCACTAAAATTTCAGTAATAGAAAGACAAAAAAAAAAAAAAAAAAACAACAAACATGTGTGTGTAACAAAAACATGAAAAAAAATTTTTTTACTGCAGAATAACGTACAGTACTCGTGCTGATTTGATCAAACATACTATAACAACCATCACCTAAAATAGGAAACAGAAAATAACACTTTATTTTTTGTCCTATTTCGTGCCAATCTTGCAAACCTCAAAAATTCAGTGAAAATAATAGATTGAAATGAAATTGTAGTTTTTGTTTTGTTGACGACATCTGCTACTTTTTTAAAATTATTGTAAAACAGTTAGTGAAACAGGGCATTAATGAACTTTGAAACCGAGCGAATTAATTCTAAAATTAGGCCTATGCTGGTTATAAGGAATAAAATGCACGAAAGCTTCTTTAAAAAAACCAAGTCTTGTATTTGATTGTCCCAATAATCATCGTAGCAACCATTGTTGAACTAAATATATGTATGTGTATTACTTAGTTTAAATATGACAGCAACCACTAGCCTCCTATGACGCCATCCAGGTACATGTTCCCAACCGCACGCTCGACGCCCGACTGAGCCCGCGCTGAGAATTGAGATGTACTCGTGAATCGCGGTCCAGGTGGTGCGAGCAAGAATATATCGGTGTCACAATCCCTCGGCAGTTATCCTTCAAGGATGAGTACGAGGTTGCCTAGAAGAAACATACACTTATTCATGGTAGTAAAGTCAGGGGTGTACTTCCGCGCACCATGAGTCTTACGTGAAATCGTTTACATTCGTGAGCAAGTACGAACAATACCTATAATAAAAATACATGAAAATGCTTTGGGACGAAGTAAATTCCTGCCGTCATCATCATTTAATTTTCAATCGATTGTGAATGATTCACATCAAATATGGCCCTCATTCCCTTGATAAATAGAAGTTTCAAACGTTCCATACGACACTTATGTCAGACATTGTATTAACCGTCATTTGATTAACAAATTTTTTAACTCACTTAAGAACCATCGAACTTGGCGCAATAATATGGACTATTATAAATTAAACACGATGCACATATATTCCTCCCCTCTTCGTTAGTCTTACGAACCCGATGTCTTGCACAATACTAGAGAAGTAAACGCAGCTCGTCATTATCTAGGCGGTGCACGCCTAGCCACGCGGAACTGAGTCTGGAGAAGAACTAGGAACGACTCGCGTTTTTTCAAGTTTCTTATCCTTGCCGGTAATTACGAAGAGCCTTGCGTGTAACGGCTTTCCTTTCGTCGCACCTGCACCGTACATGGTAGGAGCTACGGTTGTTTTTGGTGTGGCGCTATTGTTGCACACATCAAAACAGCAGCAATAGATACAAGTAATTTCATGCGGATCAGTGCGTGATGTAACCAAAGAAACGTATAGATGATATGCTCTACTAAAATTTTGCATTGGATCTTGTTATGAAAAAAATGATAATAAAATTTTCCTCGGTTTACATTATGTTGATACGAGCTTCGGAATAAATGTGAGCCTCAGAATTTGTTTCGGACGTAGCAGTCCCAGGCCAGCCTGGAAAGCCGCCTTCAGCCCCGGTAGGCAAGTCGTCCTTGTTGCTGAGGTTCGAGAGCCTGGCCCGGACAACTCCCGTTCCTTATTTTTCTTCAGGTTACCAAACTACATTTTCATAGATATAGAATCTCATCAAAATCATCTTGAACACATTTTATTTCGAGAATTATAGAGGTAATCGTGAATTATTCACTCGTCAGTAAAAACGGTCATGTGGCCTTCAGATTATTGAAGACGAATCAGAAAATTGACGAATTTGCTCTCGTGATATTTTTTCGTGATGAATAATTTCTTTACTACTCCAGAGCTCTGAAAGTTTTAACAGTAGCGATTTTTTTCAGGGCTGCAAAGCAATAAGTTTCTGCTTTGCAACTAGACAGCGTATAGCAGCTATTTAACCCGTTGCTTATGAGAATAAATACGTTCCCAGCCGCAACCTACATGATAACGGCAATAATAAAAAAAATTGTTGTCTTGTTAACCTGCGTTCACAAGGCACAGATGTCGGATAACCCATAGTATAAATTGCATAGGCAAATGCGATCGATATTAAATTTATACTAAGGAGAGGCGGCTCAATGATCAAGAATCTGGTCAAGCTCCATGTCATGAGGTAAAGGATATTTGGTGCGTGAAATTTGTAGTTGACCCTGTTCTTGTGAAGACGCTCGTGATCAGGTGATGTAGAATTTTCTTCACGTTTCTATGAGTCTATATAATGCTCGCAGAGTCCATTATTTTCGTCAGACATTTTCAAGTCTGGAATACTACAGCAGCAACCCCGCTTGCACTCACAAAGCAACAAAAAGGTTCTCCTATGCTAAAAGAATTTTTCTGAGACTTTAGGGTGTAATAATAGAAGAATTGTACAACAATCTACAGATTTCATTTGATCTCAATACAGTACAGCGTTCCTGCAGAGCACAATAGGAATAAGTCAATTTCCCACTGATAATAAATAAAGGTAGCCAATGAGCCAGAGGCAGAGGAGCAGCAAGCGCGACATCCTTCCACAGTACAATAATACCAACTCAAACGAGCTTTCGGTAGACTCGTCTGGAAAAATGTAACGTACGAACACAATATACAGTCTATAAAGTGAATAAGGTTAACACATGCAATTGCACTGAACTTGAATGATACGCTAATCACAAAGTCAATATTTTGCCACCAATTTAAAGTTTAATATTTTCAATCAACCACTTTGTAAACTGGCTTTTATTTACGAGACTCGACTAAATCTCTACTAGAGAAGTAATAAAATCTTCATAATAAATATCCTGTATAAATCAACGATATTGTGCAACATTCACCCTGTGACCGACAAAGATGTGAAGGAATGACTGCTGAAATCTTGCACAGCTTCGTATATTTACATAGAACTTGAGTTCATACACGCTCAGGGCTCAACAGTAGAAAAAAGTGGAAGTAGTCAGTCCGCTAAGATGCGTTCGTCGAGTCAATAAGACGATTTTTTAATGAATAAAATATTTCGAAATTTCACCACTCAATTTTCATTTTCCCAATCAGGAGTATAACAACTATTGGCTTTCCATTTCCGTTTTTATAATTATAAACACAAGTAGGTGTTAAAGTGCTAATTAATAACTCGCATCGAACTAAAGTGCTGCCCTATCTATAGTGACGCAGAAATGCTACAGTGCACAGCCTATGTCGGTAGGGTAAGCTTAGTTCTTTTCCTTTCAAAATAAAATGAAAAAATATTGAACTGCCAAAGAAAAAAAAACACAAGGTGGCAATACTGGTGCAGGTAGCTATCCCGTATCTATCTAATTCAAATCACAATAAGAATACACTGCGACACACAATCTTTCAGCGGCGTTGAATCATGTATCAACTCAAGAATCGATCTTCATTGATGTTAACCGAGAGAAAAACGTACTAGCATCTAAACAATTCTTCAAGACGATATGGTTTAAACACAAAACATTTACGGGAGGTCGAGTAACATCGAGTCTGGTGAATTGAAGCAGATTCCATGAAGTGGAATCTAAGGCCGAGACACCTTGGGCCAGTCCCAGGTACGGGGCAGCACCGAAACTTTGTCATAGTCGAAGTCGTAGATTTGATGCTCAATAAAAGCCTTCTTGTCTTTGGGTTCAGGGTACGTGGAAGCGATGCCTGCAACAATAAAACACACTTCATTAGTTTAATTTTCAAATCTATCAGATTATTATTTTGATATTCAGCATCTAATTAGGAATCCTCGTGCGATTAATCCCCTCTAAGTTATTTTTTCTGTTTGATTTAAAAAAATATAGAATTTGTTGAATTTATAACAATATAGGGTAAATTTAAAAAGTATGTATCCATGCAATGTTTTGAGTATTCAAGATCGATTAGTCAACACTTCTATTTCCAACAGGCAAAATTTAAACGTTGTTTATTAAATTCTTTTGTTTGTATGTGATTGTTTTTCAACAAGCGTATAAATAAATTTTCACAAAAAAGTAGGGAATTCGTGTTTTAATTATCAAAAATGAAATAAAAAAAACAAACGTATATAGGATAAGTAAGCAGGAGGAATGGGAAAGGAGAGGAGGGGGATGGTAGCGGTGCGCGACAATTAAAATTATTGAGTTGTTCTAAGCTAACAGAACAACTCAATATTCAGAAGCTAACATGTCAAGTTGGAAAACAGGAAAAATATGAGTTCGGGACACACGTGTACCATTCATGCATAAACTTTACTCGGCAGAACAAAAATTCACATACACTCTGCCAAGTAAATAAATACAATTGCAATAAAAAACTCCAGAGCGACCTAGGTATGAGTTATATCCAGATGACAGATACCACTCGGATCGCTGTGTACATGAAAAATGTTACGAAAAGACTCAAACATATTCTAATAGAAAAAAATTCTGGATTTTGCGGTTGGAAGAGAAACTCGTCAAATATCATTGAATGAAATCTTACGTTTAAGAATTGAACACGATAACAGTTGAGAAAAATGTGAAGCTTGCTAATTTGGGTGCAATTTGAAACCGTAGATTGTTTTCTAGGAAAAAAAATAGTATTTATATCCGAGAGAGAAACTTAATTATGCAAAAGCCAATTCAACATAAATAATACACTACAGTAAAATAAAATCAAGATAGAAAGAAATGAACCTAAATAAATCCTAGCCGCCAGAAGATCGCAGAAACTAGGCCACGAAAAAGCAAGTTGGGAGTGAAACATTTGTCACTGAACTTCCTGTTAATCACGATCAGCAGTCACGGATTGAAGGTCGTCTTGGTACTATGGTAAGAATGTTTTAAGAAGTGGCTACGAAATGGGTCGCTCCACGCTCGGTCAGATCTAGTTAATTATTGCATAAAATATCAATTCATTTGCATTGTATTATCTTTAATTAATTTTCAGCTCCAGGCTCGATTCACATTTCGAGGTCATGGTTTTACTTTTAGCTAAGCAGATAGGATATTGCACGTTAAATCTATAAGGTAGCGGTTCCTCACATCTTGCATATCATTATAAAAACTATTAACTAAGACCGGCAATAAAACGCTATGAATTATACGGTAAAGATAGGCCCACAACAGGAACTTGATGAGCTACCCCAGCACGTGGTGACATTAGTCGAGGTATCGCAGATTATTTAGAGTTCAGGGTCTGGTCCAGCCTCGTCAATAGTCAGACGCGTTTACATTAACAAGCTTAGGAGGTCCAACCTTCGCAAAGGAGCCCAACAAGGAGTCGTCTCCAATACAATTAAACTGTTTTAAAGTTTCAAATCTCATTTATTTATTTCAAGATTAGCATAAATAAATTGGTGCAGTGAACCGAAGAAGACATGCTCGTCTCAGAAATAACCTACAATGCGAGAAGTAGCTGAAAAATATATATATAGAATTCGACTCAATTCAAACCACTGAAATTAATTCCAGAAACTATGCAAGTGTGATCAAATAGTTGATGCTGCAAGATTAATAATATAGTAGGAGTTGCCAAGTCTGAATCGCAAGCCCTTGAGTTCCTCATGTCGAAGGGAAAAGTCAACAAATCAGCAAATTTCGAGGCTACAAAATTAGGGAAGTCGAGCTATGGTATCAGAAACCAAACAAATTCTCATCCGTGATAAACTCACAGGAACACTTATAAGTAAGAAAAGTTAATGAGGGACCGATGGTGAAAAACAAAACGGGCATTAGGTTCACAAACATGGGTCGCCTTACCGCACTGAAAAACGGCACCAAGTATAGAAGAGACAATACTACTTGAACGGGCTTTCCCACGTTACATTAGTGGCCAAAGAACTATGATAGAAAATAAAACAATAAATGGATGGTTTTCATTGAAATTTATCACGTCTGCACACGCTATTACAATGAGACATTAATATTCTGGCATATTCCAAAACTTTTAGCACCAAGCTCAAAAATTCTAATTGAAAATAAATGCTCTGCTTCTGCATTCGTGGAGCAGCGATAAAACTCGTTTATTAAAACAATTTTCCAAGTTCAAGGTTTTGATTTCAAGAGCTGAAGTCGATAATTTTTTTTTGCGATGTCGAGCAATGCACACTGGATGCGAAACTCCATTGCATTAAAAAATTTTGCAACGGTGAGCAACACAAGTCACTACGGTACATTAAATTTTTGAAAAAAGATGCCCTTTAACACAGAACAATATGATCAGACAAAGAAAAAGCCTTTAAACTTTCCCTTCAATCGAAACAATTTAATCCGGATTTTAATAAGGTTTAAGGTTAGATGCTGAGAGCGATTTCTGCCGTTTTAATAATTTATCGCTTCCGCGCCAATTTCACAGGAGGTGAAACGTTTAAACCCTAAATTTTTGGCCATCAAGTAAGGTGGGAAAGTCCAGCGAGTAGCCGCCATGTGGCGCCCAAAAGTCCGTCCCTGGCCACTCCTGCTCACGCTTTAGGCCAGGGATAAACTGAGGGCAAAGCGGTGCGGTAGTTGGCATCGTAAAGCTGAGCTTCAATGAACTCTAACTTGCGACGGGGCTCGGGGTATGTGGAGGCGATGCCTGGTCGGGGACACGGTACGAGAGACATGTACATTCATTGCAAATCGTTCCCGATGGTATGAGGTAAATAATGGTAGGGAGAACTGTATTGGATGACAGTATTGTAGAATAGCCAGAAAATATGATCCAGTAAAACTTAGTACATTGGATGATACTAGTACTTTATAATATTGGATGATATTAATGTAGAACCACCAAAGAATATGATCCAAAAGAGCTTATGGCTTTAATTTTCTATACCTTTTACTTACAAGAAATTATGAATATTAAATTTCCTAATTCAAATACCGGTATATAAAGTAAACAGAATGTTCTTACCGCTCCTTGAAACTGTTGGTAATGTTGAAAAGAGGCTAAAGTCAACGCCAAAACGAAAAGTAAAATTTTAAAGTTTGCAGCAAGTTCAAGCTCGGAGTTCTGACCAGAAGCGACTTTCAACATAGTCTTCAAATAATGGAATGAACAAATCGGCACATCCAATACAAATTTTAACGACAAAGAATGGCCGTGCAGGTGCAGCAAGTTAACCAATAAAAATGAAGCCCCTTAATAACGAAATTTCAAATTCAGTTAGAAGATAGAATGGTATTAGAGATCACACAATCAGAAAGTTTGCTTCATTATACCACAGATAGGAAAACAATAATTTGAAGTAGTTACATTTAGGAACCCATGACAACGAATAATGTTTGAAAGAATTAACTGACGGTTCATTCCACAACTATAAACACTAATACTTGCATCAAAATGTGCAGTAGATTGCATCGTGCAAAATTACTCCAAACGATAATAACAGGTCGGAAGGAAGTTCCATTACAAATTAATAGCTAATACAAAGTTGATAACTTCGGAATGGTCGTCAAAAGAATAAGCACGAGGAAAAAATTAGGAAAAATAATAACTACATGAACAGAATTAGCAATAACTGCAGGGATCAGAATCCATCATCATGTTGGGTTCTAGAACAATAAAAGGCTTTGATTCTACCACAGATTTGGCTTGAGAATAGGCCGAAACTTTTGGTATAGTCCGATAGGCTACGTACGTGAAATGAAAATTTGAGCACTAAAATAATTTGAAGCTGGTGTGAAACGAATATCTATATAAAACTTCAAAACTCAATTTATACAGTACAATGAAAATAATTCAGTATTAGCAGCAACATATCGATGATCTGAACGTAGAAAAAGTGTAGAAATATAGTTTACCAGTCTTGTAGGCATGTTCTGCGATGTACGTGGCGATCAGAATAGAACATTTCCTGATGTCCGACAGGGGAGGGTATAGGCGGCCTTCCTTTAGATCCTTCTCCGTCACCATGTCAGCGAGCGCCTGCACAGTGGAGACAATGAGAATAAATAATGCTCACATTCGTGCAAATAATGCTCACAATAAAAATCACAATTAAAATAGCTAGCAAAGCTATTCATGCTTCAGGTTAGAAAATTATCCGTAGTAAATAAGAAGCCTAGTGGAATCCCACACATATTTGAATCATTAAAGTAATGACCGTTCAGGAACATAACATACACTGATGAGCACTGAGAACTAGAATCTCCGAGTATTACTATCACTATTTGCATGATTCATTGACTATACCGTACCTGGTGCCAATGAGCTTCCAGCCATGAATGAAACAACGAAATTTAATAAAGTGACTAAGGTCCTGGGTGTGAGATAACTATTTCAGTCTTACCTTGGCGGCCATGAGGAAGATTTCGTCTTGGATGTGGTGGATGCCTGTACAGATGACGCCGAGAGACACGCCAGGGAAGATGTAAGCGTTGTTGCCCTGGCCAGGGTAGAAGGTTCTGCCGTTGAGCTCCACGGCGTCAAACGGAGACCCGGACGCGAACACTGCACGTCCATCGGTGTATTTGTAGGCCTCCTCGGCCGTGCACTCAGCCTGCGCGGAAATTATGATTGAATATTTGCTATGTTAGAAAATAGTAAAAAGGGCACAGAAGTGTGTGAGCTCCGGGAAGTATCACGAAAACAACTATCAAGCAGTGTAGTTTTCTCGAAGAGAAGACAAGGCTAACACAGACCGTAATACGGTCTAGTAAAAAAAGTGTCCGTGCATTACTTGAAGTAACATGATTCTAACTGGTGCTAATGAAATATTTTGTCCCTAACACAAAGTTACAGGAAAAGGGAGAATAATGACAGCGAGAGTCAAGTCTCACCTGGCTTGTAGGATTACTGAGGGCAAATATGATAGGGCGGTCATTGAAGGAGGCCATATCTTTGAGGATCTCAGGAGTGAACACCCCGCCGATGGCTGCAGCTCCTGATCAGGTACGAAGAGCTTTGTTCAAATATATCTATTATTTAAAGAATTTAAATAAAATAACCTAATTGAAAAATACTGTACCTTCATCAGAAAAATATAGGCTTTGTTTACAAACCTCATTGAATTGAAACTAAAAGTAACTGACAACCTAAAAGTGTTAAATATGTATTAATTCTTTGATCAATTTCTTACCAAAAACTAAATTTCATTCAAGTAAGATAAGAGGGAAAATACTCTCTACAGAAAACGCGATAATTTTTCACGTTTACTGTAGAAAGATTATAGAAATACCCTCAAAGAAAAAGGAATGAATTGTTATTATACTATTTCATTCAAGTAATTCATTGACCTTCTAGCGTGTAAATCAATAAAAAATTACCAATGAGAGTCGTAGGCTTGATAGCCTTGACGATCTCCTCCAGGGACTCCATGGGCGGCAGTTCTTTGACGAATGCAGCTTTGTGACCTGCAATGCCACCCGACGGCCGGTCCTTCACGATCAGACCCTTCGAATCCTTCAGGAAGATCTTGGATCGAGCGTCAGCCTCAGAAATGCCCTCTTCAGCCATAGCCATCACGATCAGGTTGGCTATGCCCAAGGATGCCTGAAACGATTTGCGTTCTGATTAAATTTGCTCGATCTGCTAAAAATTGTCCTCAAAAGCAATTTCACATAAAATCATGTAATTCAAACAGGATCAGAACTTACGGGTATACCTGAATACAATAATGAATTTTTTTTATGGGTAGAATGATTAGTTCACAAGAAGACCTCACCATTGCCAAAAAAACCTTTACCCTGAAGAAAAATAAAGTTTTCAATTAATTTCCCCTTTATTGAGACCAGCGACGGCGTTATCTTACCTCGCCAGCTCCCTGGAAGAGGAAGCGATGGTCGGCGAGTTTAGTTTTGGTCTCCTTGAGCGCCGCTAGCAGGCCTGCCACAGCCACGGAGGCAGTGCCTTGAATGTCGTCATTGAAGGTGCAATACTGACCGCGGTACCTGCAAGCGTAGAGCAATGCAGTGTAATTCTGAGAAGAAAGAAGCAAGGTATGTACAAACCTAGAGCAATGCAGTGGAATTTTGAGAAGATGGAGCAAGGTATGTACAAACCTAGAGCAATGTAGCGGAATTCTGAGAAGAAAGAAGCAAGGTATGTACACATCTAGAGCAATGCAGTGGAATTTTGAGAAGATGGAGCAAGGTATGTACAAACCTAGAGCAATGTAGTGTAATTCTGAGATGAAAGAAGCAAGGTATCTACAAACCTAGAGCAATGAAGCGTAATTCTTAGAAGATGGAAGTTAGGTGAGTGAGACATTAGATTATAACTAGCTGCTCAGAGAGTAGAGATTTCGACCGTAACACCCGTTTACTGTACTTACAGGATATTCTCCTGAACCATCACTAAATAATTACTATATCAAACGTAAACAGCGGACAATATCAATTTCTCTATCACAATAATGTCCAAGAATAACGCACACAAAAGTTCCTAGTACTTAATATATTTAGAAAAAAGATATACCTAACATTTACAGAGGATAAATTAGAGTGTCTACCACTATGAAGTTTAATTCAAGAAATTCGGATGGCTGTATGAGCCAACAATTACTGAATATTTATTTTAAGGTTCACTCAAACGTCAAAATCTGTTCATAAAATCGTGAGTATCTTGCATTAAATAACGGTATCCACAATTCTGCGAACTGACAATATTGAAAATAAAGAAACATCAAGCGATGGAGCTTTTCCATCTAATCCTCGCATGGGTTCAAAGTAAGTGTAAGTACAGTAATATTTTGATTATTAAAAAATGAGTTACTCACTTGTCGAGGAACCTGAAAGCATTGTGGTTGCCGAAGTCCTCGAACTGAATGAGAGTATTCTGCCCATACCGCCTCACCACCGCCTGCATAAACTCGTCGATGAAGTCGTCGTACTCCTGCCCTGTCACACGCACGTGCCGGTTACCGATGTAGAAATCGTCCTCCAGCAACTCCTGCAGTCCAGAAAACGTTACCAAGCAATTTTAATTTATTTGATGAAACTTGTCAAACGTTTATCGGTGAATAAATTTTTCTATTCACAATAAATACGTTGTTTCTTCAGCCAAGACTAATTCTAGATCTGCAATAAAAAATTAAACTGCCATTCTATGATATATAATGCGCAACTAGTATGCCAAAAAGCTGTAGCAATCATTTAAGGTCGGCAAGATAAGGAAAATGCTGTGCTTTCTAGCTTGACTGCAGTACAAATATAACAACCGCCGTTTATTGAGCGAGAAGATGAAACACGTAACAGAGAAACTCTACTGACTGGAGTCTTGTCTTAAGCCATTTAATATCCATAACAGCAAGTGTAGTATAGAATCAAATATTATCGCGTATCAAGTCAATAAAAAAAATATATAACTCGGTCCATACTATCAGGACTCCCTTAGGTACACATAGAGGCCATTTTTACGTCTGTGGTTGGTGAGTTTGAATTGAAATACCGTCAGTGATTGGCAGACAAAGTCAGAAATGCTGCACTATTTTTGATGCTTGGACGCGTGTGCCCACCTTTCTGGACGCGTGTGCCCACCTTTCTGTTGGTGCCCACGTCGAGGGTGATGGGAAGACACTGGTGGGGCTTGATGCCCGCCAAGGCGGTGTAGAGGGCAAGCTTGCCCACGGGGATGCCCATGCCGTACGCGCCGAGGTCGCCCAGACCGAGGATGCGCTCACCATCAGTCACCACGATGGCTCGAACGTCGCTTTCTGGCCTGGCAGGACAACGAAAAGTTTATATTTTAAATGGAGCTTCTTTATGTCTTGATCAAAGTGATTCAATAATATTGACAGGAGAACATGTAGCATCACGTAGTCAATTTTCGACGAATGTAAGAAAAACGATAACAGGAGGAAGTATGATCATGAGTAACATTAATTAAAGCGAAGTAAAAGGTACATCAAGCATATTTATAGAAGAATGGAAAAATACTCAATGACTTTACTTTATTATTATTTTTACGGCTTTTCCTTCTTGTTTGGTGATTGTCAATAGTCATTTTATTCAGTAAACACACCGAGGATAACTTCCACGCGGGTAAATTTCTAGGTAATGCGCACCAGTTTCTGATGACGTCGTAGACGTGCCCCTTGTCGTGGATGGAGATGAAGAGGCCGCGAGGTCGTCTGAAGATCAGGCCGAACTTTTGGCACGCGAGGCCCACGGTGGGCGTGTACACGATGGGCATGTATTGCTCGACGTTCTCACTCAGGAGGCGGTAGAAGAGCTTCTCGTTGCGGTCCTGAGCGACAGATGTAAGAGTTAAGAAACTAGCTTCTTCAGCCATTTAATAACTAAAACAGCAAATGAATTCAAGACTCGTATATTGCCGTGTAATATGTCAATACATGACGACACATACACAACTGGGACAGTGCTCTCCATACTAGCTCAAGTGCATGTAGCTTCTTATGTAGAAGTAGCGGCTTAAGTACACGTAGCGGTCCAAGTATACGTAGCGGCCTATGTACATGTAGCGAATGACAATATTATAAGGTAATGCCTAAGCACGAAAATTCAAGAGATCAATAAGTCAGCAGAGTTCCGTGAAACATTTCAACTCGTGAATGACAGTTATGCATCTATAAGAAACAGTAGAAAACGTATATACAATGATACATTGAATTGTCCTGAGCAGCTATAAAATACTTGGGACGATTGTGTCAATTCATGTTTCCACTTGTCGAAACTCAAGCATAGAAATAATACGCAAATGTGAATAACATTTGCGGGTAAATTACTAAATCATCAAAATGAATTATTTTCCCCGAAAAATATTTCATTTACCGTTAGAAAACACAAACAAGTGCAGTGAACTACGGTACTGTACATTGGCTCCGATAAAACAATAGATGAAACAAATATTGAATAATTAACAAAAACATTCAATAATCAAAATTTTTTCGATAATTAGATCTAAGAAACATTTCATATTACCTGAAGACCCGCTAGGTAGATGTACTTATTAAGAGGCTCCTGATATCTCTCAATGTTCTTCTGGCAGAGCGTGACTTGCTCCTCCTGAGTCTTGAAGCGCGGAGGAATGAGGCCGTGGATACCCAGCACCTGACGCTCCTCCAGCGTGAACGCCATGCCCTGCCGCAATGAGAACTTGTAATCCAAGTATAACTAGATATTTACGCTAGTAATTGTAAATGTTGGTAAATAGGGATGTAGTCTGGTATTTACATGCATAAAAGTGAGGTAAAGATAGCATAAAAATAATGATTCCCTGCGATAAATAAGGTTAATACTCTTCTAATCTTAGAAAACTAGTTAAACACTAGCACCTTTGATCAAAGTACTTTTGTAAGACGCTGAAAGCGCGAATAACGCTATGCGACGTAAAATATAAGACACAAATATATAGTAACCACGACTAATTTAATAGAAACGGCTATTAAAGAAAATGAATTTGTTACAATTCACGATACAATTGTGCCAGCGAACTGGTATGTGATAAGAAATAGTCTCTACGAGAAACATTGCTCCGTAATAATAACAAACAAGCTGGTAGTAAATAAATAAATATAGTACAACTACAGTTTGCAACTGCAATCAAGGCATCTGACAATGCAGGGGAATTTTCCCTCTGTTTCCGTGGCAGCACAGAAAACCTGTATAGGTCTAACAACAGGAAACAAGTCAACACAACTGAGATGAAATTCACCAACACTCGAGAATTCCCGTTAGAGTTCGGTAAATAATAAAATGTTTCTTAAACTTAGAAATGTTGCTTCACTCTAGATTGTGTTTGAAAAACATTATGACAAAAAATTTAACAACCCCGATAATTTCACGAATGTCAAGGAATAATGAGCTGTAGCGAAATTTTACGATCACTTATAGCTTAAAATATATACTTTCAGACAACACAACCCCCTGGAAATTATCACACATCAAATTTTCAAGTGCATTTTTTAGGGAGAGGGCATTAACGGGCGCATGCAATCTGACATTAAAATCAAGATCTACCTTCAATAGGACAAGTTCAAGGTCATCTAGAGGGTGCGGTCGGTCATTGACAGTGCCAGACGCATGCACCTTCCCAATCCCAGACCCAGAATAATAAGCAATAAGTCCAATGCAGCTGCACTCGCATACAATAATGCAATTACGAAACTGATTGAATCGAGATAACTGACACTATATCGTATGAATGGTTTTCTCTAGAATTTTCAAAATATATAGCTAGTACCCAAGTAAAATGCTCGATGAAAATCACTAGGAATTCATCGGAATATATACACTAGCGTCCATGACATCTCCACCGCTAATTATAAAAATTAAAATCATTCAACAGGCAATCTAGAAAGACCAAATGGGAGAAGAGCGACGTATCATGCAAACAAGCAAAGATATTGGAGGATGTGATGATGCAAGATCATGAAAATGAAGCTGATCGCGCAGTATCACGTTACGCGTGGCAACTACTGTTGCTACCTTTTAGCTTCAGCTAGAACGTATTTATACTGAGTGAGTAATAGAACGTTTCCCAGCAGATGAATTGCTGAAATTTATCATTTAAAACGAGTCAAGTTCAGAAGTTTCAATTTAGTATTTTTTTTTAGCTGAATCGTGTATTCTCATGAGAACAGTACGCCCGGATTTCATCATCCACTTTCGTATCTAAAACATAGCAAGAACAAAAATATGAGGGCGGGGCAATGTCAACATACTTTACGGCAGCGAGCGCGAGAGGTCAACGAATCTTTCGTCAGTTTTTACGATGACAATGGCACGAAGAAAATGATCTCAATTTAAACTTAAATATATAATTATCCAGGAGGGCTGGTACAAGGTTGACATTACGACATGAAGCCCCAGTTCTTGAAAATAGCCCCGAGCGATGCAGACCTTTTCTTTTTTCGGGCATTATTTGCAGAGAATAATCAGTACGTTACTGCAGCTTAGCCAGGAACAGCGCACACCCCGTTTGAATGTATATTTTTTAATTAACGGTTTATTGGTGTACTTGGTAAATAAAGTACAACTAAAAGATGCGGAATAAATCCTAATGAAATGCATGAGAATAGCCTAAATACTGATGATTACAGCAAGAAAAAAGTTTACAATACATATAGTTTTCTAAGTGTAGCGATAAGGAAACGGCGACAGCGGCCATTTGCGTGAATTATCGATGCTTATAAATTATTAGTTGAAATTTCAAGCCAGAAGAAAGATGCTAGAGATCTACATTTAAAAAATTCAAAGAGAATATATATTCTAATTTAATTGCACAACGCAAGCTAAGTTAACAAGGAGATATAAATTTTCAACAAAGTACAATTACTTCTCGAGAGTAAAACAAGGATTACTACTAACCTTATTGAGGCGAGGATCCCTGAGGTAGTCGATGCCTCGCACCATGCTGGGGCAGATGTTGTCGTCGGTGTGCTCATGGTAGCTCCTCTGGCCCAGACGATCCCACGAGAACTCCATCGCGGCTAGCAGCTTGCCTCCGTTTGCCGTCACACGTTCGCTACCTCGTCCGCAAGCGCTGCACACCACGAATATGAAATACTGTTAACATTAAGACTCGACCAGAAATGTTAGTGAGAAATATTCCAGTGTATTCGACTAAGAATTCTGAGCAAAATAGGAGAGAGATGAGATAAAACTTACATCCCTATCCAATAATGGCTTTGTAATTTCAATACCCGTGACATAATTATACAATAATATAATAGCCCCGATGACGAGGGAAACTAAAAAGTGTAATCAAATCCAATACTTTCCCAACAAAGATGAACGAATAATGAAAAGAATTGTTCTAGAATCCATGGTTGCACGAGATGCATGACAGATTGCGCAAGAACATACGACGTTGCGTGATACATACAAGGCTCAGGCACGAGCACTAGCTGCAACGAGCCTGAGTACATACATACACTACATGCACGGCTCCTGCGGCTGACTTGTACAACAATCCACGACCAGCCGAAAAAAAACTAAAAACAAACAATGAGATAATCGAGTGAAGATTATCGATCGAGGGAAGAAAGAATTTTGTAGAATGAATACTATAAAAGAGCGTTTCAAGCCATTTTAGCTACAGGTTCCACCGAACATCGCCTAGTAACAAATTCGGACTCGTTCGTCTCCAACGCCACGAGGCCTGTTGGCGTCTTGCCAAGTTCTGCTTAATGATAATTCCGACGAATATTTAATAGAATTGTTCATAAAATATTTCTATCTTCAGTCGTGAGCAAGAGTTGACCAATGAAGAGATAAGCAAGATAGGAAATCTCAAAACGATTCATCATCTGACTTCACGTGTCACGTGTGAATGATAAGGTTTCTTTAAAGATTAGAAAGAATAGAATAGTCTAAATAGAATAGAAGTGTCGGCACTGAAGAAAGAGGCCCATGGCCTGTTGCCGATTCTTGAATTTTTCGTGACTTGATTCACAAGGGATCCAGCCTTTGGAACCCGATCTTTCCATAACTGACGATTGATTGAGATAGCTGCTGGGCTTATTGCCTGTGGTCCTTAATTTGCTAGGCATTTTGCTGGTTTTTCTGGCAAGCAAAATTGGAATTAAATTGAATGACATACCATAAGCAGCCAAATTATTAATTTGAAAAATATAGGTACTATGTAGAATGTCATTTTACATACTACTGAGGATGCAGAGTTAACTTATAGAAAAATCAAACAATGCAAGTACAGCCTGAATGAATGCAAGTAGATTTTTAGTGCCAATACAGTTGCTCACAAGGCAAGTCTTCAGGAAGCAACCAAAATTATAAGTCCAGACCGAATTCACAAAGTCTTCTCAATTTACATATGCAACAATTTTACGTATTTTTTCAGCACAATATAACATTTATAACATACGTCAGATAAATATTAAATACGATACCTACACATTAATGAGTGAACATTGATACAAAGTGAGCCGTTGTACATAAATACCTACGGCACCCGAAGCAATAAGTGGGCGCTCTACTGAAGCTCGTAAGCTTAATTTCAGGGAGTTGAACACTTAATTAAATAAAACCAAATCTGACCATCTTGATGTCAACTCCTGAGACGAGTTATCAATATCATAACGGCCAAGTGATAAGACAATCACTGACCTAAAATCACTAGATAATTCTCATAAAAAAAACGATTTAATTCTAAAACAGTACAAAAACCGTAATGGATAATAATCATTAAGGTAACAATTTAGAACAAGGAAATAATAATTTATATGAATAAATAAAATAAAAGACAGTCGTAGATCATTAGCAACAAAGGAGCTGATGTTGATCTAACATAGATATCCAAATTGATGATGCCAAAATTACAGGTTAATCTGAAAATCGAAACTGACAAACTTTCAACCTAATTACTCCGTCAAAAATCTTAGTTGCTCAGTTCACACTGCTATGAAAATTTAAAAATTTTGCTACAAGAAGTAATACAGTAAATTTGTACGAAGGTTAAATACCTAATTGAAATCATTAAATTTATCAAAATAGCGCTCATTCTCCATGACTTTCGGTGAAAAGACTTACATTCCGAAACGCTTGTACATAGCACTTCGTTGTCAGTGTCCATACGACAAAAATCGGACAAATGATTAGAAAACGGTAATTTTAGCAGTGAAAATTTACATAAGTTCTTTTCTGCGTTAAGCCTACTGAGATTCATCAATCGTTTGATTCACCTTAGCGTAAACAATGAAAAAATAGCGAGAAATAGCAATGACCGACAACTGAGTCAACCAACACAGAAGAACCAACTTTGAAACTTAATATCTTATGATGAACATAGCGCACTTGAAAAATGTGAAAAATAAATGCGACAACGATCAGCGGCTTCAGCGCTAATTTATGATACACCATTGCGTCTGAGATTTCATACTTCACAGCAATCAAGTTACAGCCAGGAAATATTAAATTTAATATTCTTCTATCTTAATTTAATTCGCAAACAAACTAATGCAACAAAACGTTGGTATACCGGCGGATTTTCGACCGATACACTCGAGTTTCCTCCCTGTTAGTGCAACCAGTAATTTATTCGAAATTAATGTTACATTTTCGCTGAAATAACTGGAATATAAGTGTAACTATATATCTAATCTCTCTGTGACTAACATTTCAATAGTATGCAATAAATTAGATATTATTAAGAATCTGAAAACGAGTGACGATACCTCGAAAGTTTACGTTAATAAAGAGCTAAACTATCAGAAGCCGGGTTAGAAGTTACCGTTAATAATGAATGTCGTAAAATATAAGTCAAATATTCACCTTAATTACTTGACGGAAAGAATGTCAGTAGATAAGCCTATCAGATGGATGGCAGAGGTCAAAGTTTGGGTGCAAGGCAGACAAACGATGGCTCTTCGATAGTATGACAGCTCAACTGGTACTACCTCTCCCTGTCACTGTTGGCCAACAACTAAACGTCTAAATAGTAAATCCGATGATGGGAAGCAGAGAGCCGCTGCCGAAAGAGGATGCGTTGCAAGCCTCTCTTTTTCTTTCTCTCTCTAAGCTACATATTGTACTGTACTCCTGTTTGAGATTCAAATTCGTGAAATTCGCTATTCGAAATTATTCGCGAGTTAAGATGGTTCACTAGTACCTCATAAAGCTTAAAAAAAATAATTTGACTGTTGAAAATTTTCTTCGCAATATAAATTGTCATGTCAATTTACTCAATTATACCATATCGCTCATTTCCTAATTCCAATAGCATCGAAACCGTTAACGAGATTTTTTCTGACGCAAAAATTAAAGATTTTCGAAATCTAGTGCGGCACTCATTAAACTGCGTACGAACGTAGAAAAAAACGGCATTTTTTGTCACATGAGCTCCACGAGTTAAGAATTCGGTCTTCCATGAAACTGCAGATCTCTCTTGTCATGACGAAAGAACGTTGTTTTAGGTAGACAATACTATGAGACTGCAGGAGCACGTTTCATCAGTCATGAAGCCTCAAACAATAAGGATAAGACGAACAGAAGAGTCGCGCAGGAGCAAGTGACATGCCTTGGATCGTCACGGTTTAAATTGTCCTCTCTATATCCCTCTCACTTGCGTTATTCCTTTGCTCCGGCATCGACCGCCGGAATACAGTAGGCTAGTCCAGGCGTTAGGATGAGGGGGGAAGTACACAGGGGTTAGGAGGTTTTTAGCTACAAGGAGTAAAGTAGGAGTAGACACATTAAGCTTGAATAGTCTTTCACAAGTGTGAATTAAAAAAAATTCTCAAATAATAATCCTATATTCATGTTCTCTTTACTGGAGATCATCGGCCAGTTAATGAGTACAAAGGTTGACAACCACGTTACGAGAAACTCAGATAAAGATTTCATTTATTTTATGGCAAAGAGGAATCTGAATTAACTGCATTTACGATGCATTTACGATCTACAACATTGTTATGATTCCGTTATCCTCGTTAACTAATTCATCATATCAAACTATGAGTAACGTAAGAAAGATAAAAGTTTTTTTTGCAAAGGATGTTTCTCCACTCAATTTAAGCAATAATGTCACAATATATACATATAACTCGAACTTTGCATCTTGAAATAGCATGTGAATAAAGGATCGGTAATCATGCGGCATATAATTGATTCAAGGATTGCTCAATATTTATTTATGACTAAGAACTAAATAACTAATGACAACAATGGTATGGGAGACGTCTCTAGTACTGATGAAAAAACGATTTTTAAAAAATATTCGTGGGAAAAATGTAAATTAGTTTTTATACATATTTTATATTTTTTCTTTTTGGTACATAATGTGATTTTCCGCATAATATTTGTAAATGTTTGAACAGAGACACAAATTAAGGCTCTTTATAATCAAAAGTTATGTTGAAATAAAAATAAACGGTTTAGTGTTCATGTTCCTAAAGTATGTTGCTGATAAATTTTCCGATAAGAAACGCCTTCGATATAAAATCTCATTATTATCGTTTTTTTATCAGTTTGTCGTCTGGAAGCCAACACGTGCAACGCGCAAGGAAATTCCATGACGTCACACCGGCAGTGACTTGCGAAAACCATCGCCGGAATCATCGTGCATCTGCCAACGCAACACTACAAATAACGCAAGATTAACGATATTAAGGTTGTTTAATTATATACGTATGTACTTACCGGGGTAGAAAAATACACATTCGTAAAATTCAAATTTTACCTGCGAGGAATGTTCAATCAGTAGATCTTCTTATCACTTGTATATTAGAATAAATTAATTGCTCAAGGAAGGGCAGACACCGAAGCCGACGGCAGTTGCCCGAAAATATAGGACATCTCCATTGACATTTTTAATGCACATTAGCATTTCAACACTTAAATAAACGTCTGAACGTCATTTAAATGAACGTCTGAACATTTGTTTAAAATGTAACATTACACCTGATCAGTTCGTGATGCTGCCGCAATCGCTTGGTCGGTCGATGGCACCGCCCACTGCTCGGAGAAGTGAAGCTTCCTCCGTCCCATACTCTGACGTCACCTCAACCCTCGGTTGCAACACTTGCA